GCTGAGTGGGTGGGCGGAGGGGACCAATGAAATCCATCGAGATAGACTGCCAACGACCTTCAGGTATGGGTAGGGGCTGAAGTAACCCATACGGAAGGTGGTTCGCACTGTTCACCTCCTGGCAGGTAGGACACTCCTGGATGTAGGCTTTGACAAAGTCCTTGGACTTCGGCCAGACGTATAGGCGGCAAACACGAGCCAACGTCTTGTGGAAACCCATATGACCGACAACTGTCTGGTCATGGAACTCTGCTACAGCCTGGACGCGGAGCTTTCCGGTGGAGGGAACGCAGATACGTGGTTCTAGCTGACCAGATCTGCCATGCCAGTACACGAGGCCGTTCTCCCCGAGGGAGTAGGAAGGAACGGTCTTGCCACTCCGCAGTGTCGCGTGGATGACGCGATAATCGGGGCAGTGGCGGTACTGAGTGCGATACGCGTCGATCACCGACTGATCAACACTGGTGATGGAGATGGTAGCAAGATGGATGGGTTCCTGATTGTGATTAGGACGGCGGGACAAGGCATTGGCGACGCGGTTCGTTTCACCCTTGATGGGCTGAGTGGTGAAACTGAACTCGGATAAGTCACGCCACCATCGTGCCTGTCGAGAGGAAAGCTTAGGCTTCGTGAGGAAAGCCTGGACAACTGAGTTGTCCATGCGCACCGTGAAGGGCGCCCCGTGCAGATAATGACGCCAATGCCGGGTAGCATAAACTACTGCGTGAACCTCACATTCATCGGCAGTGTAGTTTATCTCGGCAGGTAGTAGCTGACGGGAGTAGAAAGCGATCGGGCAATCCCCAGCATGAGCCTCGACCGTCCCATCCTCCGCGATGGTCGGGGAGTAAGTAATGGGAGGACTGTCAGTGGAGGGAAGTGGTGGTAGGATAGGCGTCAGTCGAGAAGCAGTGTCAGCAGGAGCGGGGGGAAAAGGAGGAACATGGGGGTAAGGTGAATCTGGAGGAGAGGGAAACACCTGAGAAAGGACAACTCCTACTGCAAAATCTGACGCATCGGTGGTGACGATAAAGGGACGATCAAGGGAAGGCGAAGAACCGGCGCGCAAGTCACCGCCTTCTTGAGGGCGAGGAAAGCGTCCTCGCAGAGGGGTATCCAAAACCACGGCGGGTTCTTCCGGAGGAGGGTGGAAGTAAGGACGTAGGAATACCTAGCGTATCCCTGGATAGAATTACTATAGTAGCTGGTGAGGCCTAGAAAGCTGCGAAGCTGCTTGGCAGATGTGGGGACGGGCCACTCTGCAATAGTAGTGATCTTCGCGCCGTCCATGTGGAGACCCTGGTCAGACACATGGTGTCCTAGGAAGTCCACTTTGCGCTGGGCAAAGCGGCACGTACTGAGCTTGGCATAGAAGCCATGCTTGCGTAAGCGCTGTAGGACATCGTGGAGGTGTCTGATATGGTCTTCTAAGGTACGACTGTAGACCAGGATRTCGTCCAGGTATACGAGAACGTATTCTTCAAGGATGTCCCTGAAGATGTCGTTCATCGCCGTCTGGAAGGTGGCGGGTGCATTCGTGAGGCCGAATGGCATCACCGTGAACTCGTAGTGGCCGAAGCGCGACCGAAAGGCGGTCTTCGGCTGGTCCTCTGCGGCAACGCGGATCTGGTGGTAACCGCTACGAARATYGATCTTCGTGAAGAAGCGGTTGYCTGCCAGACGGTCAAACAGCTCATCCGCGCAGGGCATGGGATAGCTGTTCTTAACCGTGTAACGGTTAAGGCYGCGATAATCGATGCAGAGGCGGAGAGTTCCGTCCGCTTTGCGAGCAAAGAGGACAGGTGCACCCCAAGGGGAGTTACTAGGTTTAATGAAACCAAGTCGAAGGAGCTCCTCAAGTTGACGTTTGAGTTCCGTCGCCTCTGGAATCAAGAGTCGGTATGGTGCCTGATGGTGAACACGATAGTCAGGCACAAGCTGGATGGAATGCTCGACACCGCGCATCGGGGGAATCCCGCTGTATGAGAAATACGGGGGGAAGACGTCGCGGTACTCCCGAATCAGGTCGCGAACGACGGACTCTAAGTCAGCCGTGAACCGCATGAGTTCCTCAACGTCTGCGTCGGCACGAGACGTATGGGTGGACTCGGCAGTGGACGGCGTAGGAACCTGGGATGTCGAGGGGGTATCCGCAGGCTGTGGGGTGGATGTAGAGATGGGAGCCGCGAAGATGGAGGAAGGGTCAGGGGGATCGGGCTCCAGTGAGATGAGCTCAACCTCGGGACAGAGTGGATCGTAGCGAAGAAGATCCATGACGTTCACTGAGTAGAGCGTGACGTCCTCCTGTCGGATGAAGTGAGCAAACTGACGGGGAGAAGTGAAGAAGATGTCTGGGTGGGACCTAGAAGGACGAGGGTCCTGGGGAGGTAGGTTTGGAGGGTTGTCGCCCGTGGTTCCAATGAAGGGGACTCGATGGGTTTGACCACACTTCGTTTTGAGAACGAGTGTCTCAAACGCCCATTCGGCCAAGGATGGCTACGGAACCGGCGAGACCAGGGAGTGCCAAGGATAAAGTCGTACCCAGTCTCCAGCACGTCGAAGTAGGCGGAGGAATGGTAGCGCCGGGGCGCCTGGGTACTATCCGGTGGCTGGAGGGTGAGGGAGAAGTGGAGGTCGGGGACCGTCTGATCGAAGAAGCGCTGCGTCTTGTTATCTTCGAGGGTAACGGAGATAGGAGAGCGAGACCCAGAGGTAGCTAGGCGAGCTTCCTCAACCACTCGAGGGTGAACGAAATTTCCCTGCGAGCCAGAGTCCCATAAAGCGTGGTACACCCTCGTAGATGTCCCTAGGCGAATAGGGATGATGGGTAGGGTGCGATCAGGGTCAAAGAGCAAGGCGAGAAGACGACGCAGGACGTTGATGTGTCTCGTGAGGCGCTCCTGACGAGCCTGCAGAATGCTCAAGTCCAGGAGAGATGACACAACGTCATCGCGAGTCGCCAGCTGAGCGCCACAACGGGCTGTGCGAATGGCGCGACGCGTCGGAAGTCTCAAGCGAG